AAAGGTGATTAAAAGTTTTAATAATATTTGAAAAAGATGCTACATTTTTGCATTTAGCTTTTATTATTATCATTATTAGATTTTCTTTTTGCACAGCTGTATTTCAATGCAATATGTCTGCGAGTCCTTCAAGTATTTGTCTCCACCATTGCAGTAGCCTACCTAAAAGGATTTCTATCAGAATCAACCCAATTAAGCTTTGTCACCCATTGTGTTTTGCATGTAAGCTAACTATGCTGCTGTGTATCCAACATGACGTGTGACCTGGGTAGTAAATAGTTAAATTTACTCTCTGCAGACAAAGCAAAACAGCCCCATGACATAAGAGAGGCAACTCAATAGTTGACAGAAGGAACAGTGTATTTTTCTTAAAATGGTTAATTTTTCCATATGTGAGCATAGAGTTGATGTGCCCATGTTGAGTGCGGTAAACACCATGACACTGAGCAGCACAGTAACATGTAGCCCTATATATAAGCCCACTGACTGGTTAAACCATTGTGGAATTGTGGAATTAGAACTGTGATGCTAATTAATGGACATGCCTTGATTTAACATGTCCCTTCAGTCACATTATTTTCAGTCTTTTTTAGTGGTATCATAATTTTTTTAGGCTTTTTTTATGAGTTTATTTATTAACATCATTCTGTTAAAGCATTGTTGAAAAGTTATTTCTGATTTTCCTCTTTTCATCTTAATATAATTTGTATTAATTGTGTTTTTGGTCAGATTCAAGTTATATCTATGACCATTGTTTCCTTGTTTTTCCTTTTTGTTTTTGGATTACCAACAACTTTGTCCCTGGTTTAGTTTCTCCAAATTCTTTTGAAGCAGAAAAGGTGTACCAAGTCTTTACTAGTCCTATATTGACAATCTCTGAAACCTTATTTTCCCAGTAAATGTATATCAGGCGTAATTTTAAAGAGTACATCTGAGACCTGAAGATTTTATTTTCCCACCTCTGTCAAAACATTGTCATGCTGTCAAACACAACATCAGAGCACTTGTTGTTGTGGCTGTTGTCAACTCCCTGATAGAGAGGATAAATATGGTGACCCACTGCTCTGATTTAACACAAGATCTGCTTCTGTCCGGAGGGTGCTGTGTGTCATGTTAATTCAAATCAAGTCAAGCAAAGCCGGGTCGGCTTGTCAAGTCTTGTCAAGTTAATGTGTGCATCTCTGTGGGCTTCTAAAAACAGAACTTTGATAAAACAAACTTGCTTACCTCCCTCTCCCGCTCTGTCTTGGTAAGGTTGATCTGTTTTAGCATCTGTGAACGTTGTTCCATCACAAGAGTCTTCTCGTATGTGTACGCTGAAATATCGCTGTCATGCTAAGGGAAAAATATACATATATTTTCACTCTTACTGAGTTTTATTTATTTTTTGTACATTTTAGAAACAGGTATTGCCCGATGTTTGTAGACATTCTTGGAGAAATGTAGAAGTGAAGAGTTAGGGAGTGGAATCGTGTTGGTTCTTCCTAAAATGTAAATATTTAATGGTATCAGGGAATGTCGAAAACATGCTGTGCAATTAAAATGCATTTGGCCAATAATAAAAAGCATATGTTTTTTTTTCAGGAAAAACAGCTATGTTTACTGAGACAACTGGCCGAGCCTGAAGCATCGCCTGATTATTTTCCTGGCTGAGCGGTTCTGACATTAAAGTGCTTCTGAAGGTTCTTCGATGCATGTAGTTTTACTTCCACATCTTTGCGGTACCAACTTTAAGAAAACTCACCATTTCAACGACTTCTACCATAGCATCAATGCGGAGGTGATACAAGAATGTAGTGAGGTCCTTTTTCATCTGAATGCTGTTGTCATCCATCTGGGCTACGGTAAAGATGCGCATCTTGCACTTCCTCCAAACCTAAAGATCACACAACATGGTTTTCCATTTTAGAGCATCAAAAAACTTTTGATTTCTACAATAAAACATAAATGTTAATGCTACATTTTGTTTGGTTATAAATGCAGTTACAGATCCTGAAAATCTTTATACATTTTGTAGGAACTTGGAAATTGCCAGAATTCTCAAATAGCTTTTTTGTTTTATCTTTACCTAGGTGGTAATAGGAAACTATCTCAATATCATCCAGTACCTTATGTTGACGGAGAAGGAAGGGCAGCAGCATCAACATGCCTCCATCGTGGACGATCCACCATACGTCAATGTGACCCTCTGTGAAGCGTTCACCATTGGATGGAAAGGCTGCAATGTTCTTTGGTACCAGTAGAGCAAGCTGGGCAATGGTAGTCTCTCTGACCAGCTCTATAA